TAAATGTAGCATTCATATGCAGCCATGGTGACGTCAAAGACATTTCAGAGGAAGACCTGTAGAACCTATGAAACCAAGAAGTGATGATCCTTCCATGTAACGAAATGCTGGCCTACTTAATATAATATTTTTAGCTTTAACGGTAAATGTTCTGTTACATGTGACTGAAACTAGCAAAGATCAGAGCACAAGTACATACCTTAAATCAGCAGTGAATAAGGATGGATATAAGTGCTTTGTGCGCAACAGGCAACAGAGAAAACAGTGCTGAATAGTTGAGCTACGTGTAGCAGATCTGTGTAATATGACCAATAATGGTTTAAATCAGTTTAATCCAACTTTCAACTAAAGAGACTGAGCCTCTTCTTCATGTAGAGAAAGGCGAGATACGTAGCTCCCCCAAGGACCCCGACCAGCAGAGTCGTGCCGACTATAACAGGAGCGTTCTTTCTGGCGACTCGGAACGCCACAGGAAGGACAGCAGAGATCAAGATGTTGTTGACGTGGCCCAGCACCCTCCGGAAGGCCGGCCGCTCCACAACACGCTCGTAGTACGTTTCCACGTTGACCCGGCTGCCGTTGCCCCAGTAGCGTCGGGAGAGACCGAGGAACTTCAAGCGGTGCAAGGTGACCGCCAGCGAGACGTCGGCAATGCTGAAGAAATCTCCGCACAGCCACGACGGTTTGCCTTCCTCTGGGAAGACGGGAGATGAAAGACGCGTTTAAAGAGAAATAAATAAAATAAATAATAAAATAGAAAATGTTGATGCTAAATGTTGCTTACAGCGGTTGTTTTCTGACATACCAGGTGTTTCCTCCGCTCTCCTCTGCAATTCTGTCTCCACCTGGTCCATCACACTTTCCAGTTCATCCAGGAGCTTCTTGAGATACTTCATGTTGTCATGGTCAAACAACTTGGACTACAGGGATTAGAGCAAACTTAGAATCCAGAAAAAAAAACTACCTGAGCAACTACTTTTTAGACTCCTGTCCTTCCAACTCAGACAAGGAAGTAGACCAAAAGATACTTACTTATACTTATCTAGCAACCCTGAACAGGAGTATCTCGTTTATATACTTTGGATCAACATTATTAGATTCTTTTTCTTCTTTTGTTCTTTCCTTCAGTTTGTTATTTTGTTTGTATTTCTTTTTTAACTCATGTAAAGCACTTTGAATTGCCTTGTTGCTGAAAATGTGCTATTTAAGTAAAATTACCTTCCCTTATTTTCCCTTACCTTAGAGACACATTTGATTAGAGATGATTATGGAAACCATGTACCTTTATTCTACATTGCACATCAACACACTGAAAGAAATTAAGGCTGGAAATGATCAGTCTGACTGGCAAACTCTCCAGTAATGCCCTCATATTGAGATTTTTTTAGTTTGTATTATTATTATTATTATTATTATTATTATTATTGTTATTATTATTATTAAGGCCAACTAAAGAAGAAATAGTTTCCAAACATTAATGTAAGCTGAGAATGATTTTTTTTAGACTTATTCACATCTGGCATATCAAAATCAATTACTAAATGTTCTGAATCTACACTCAATTGAAACTTGAGTGTAGATCAGAATAAATCTCTCCAGCTAATCATAGAAGCACAATTTTTTTTTTTTGTTACGTCCCAGTTCAGACACAGTCGAAAAGAAGTAGGATAGGAAAAGTGATTAGTCAAGAGGTCTGGTTCTAAATTCCATATTGTGCACATTTGGCAGTTTGCTAATATTGTTACCCCGACTTACTTTCAAACGCCTCTGTTTTGCTATGTAAGCATCTTTAAGCTCTGGGTTCTGCTCAGCCAGTTTCGCCAGCTCCGTCTGCGTGTTTCCAATCTGTGCTGCCAACAACAAACAGGCACGGGCATCATGAGGCGCACTTTAGATTTCAGTGTGAAATCAGTCATTTTTATGGAAAGATTATGCTGATGGAAGGTTCTGGTGTATACTCACAATGAGTCTTTAATGGTGCCTTTGAAATGTTCCTTTTTAGAGGTAATTAACAAAATACTAGCAAATATTGACCAATCTGACTGCAGTAAAAAATTAGCATGTCAAAGGAGGAGGCAAAGTTAAGCTTTCTGATTAAAGAACATTGTGCTGACTTGTCAGTGATAGCAGTGGAAGCAACATGTTTCAGGTTTGTTTTGCTGCCATTGGCACAGATAGCATTGCACAAGGTTGAACATTTTATTTTGGTGAATGGAATAACCAATGGCATCTATAGGGTCTAAATCTTAAACTGCTCTGCAATATCAGGTTGCCTTACTTCGTATCGATGCAGCAGCATATGCAGGGATGTGGGAGTCGGCAGTGATCTCAGGATGAAGGATACAGCCGTGCGTGTATGCGTCCATGGGCAGCGAGTCTAGCAGCTCCCTGTAGTGCTGCACTCTGAGATAGTACCTGCTGCTCTCCTCAGGAACCAGCCTGGGAGTTCCCTCTGAAGACACACAGGCCAAGGAAACAGTAAAAATATGGACATCAAAACAAACTTTAAGAAAAGCTGACATGTTAACACAACAGATATTCAGTCATGAACAAAAAAAACAAAAAAAAACTCTTGTGATTGTTAAATTACTGACGGGAAACTAATAAGTACATCATACGAATACAAAGCTGTCGATTGTGGTCCAAATAATCCATATTTATTCAGCTTTACTAATCTGAATTTAAACATCTGACATGTTCTTATACAGGCTTTTAGAAGACGTGTGCAAAAAAGGCAGTTTAAAAATGCAGTGATGAAATGCTGACCATTGATGATATTTTGAAAAGATTCAATGATTGAATATTTTCAAGTTTCAACTTAAGTAAACTCATACTTGCCTGATTTGTTTTTCATTTCATTTGCAGTGCAGAATCTTAAGAGCACGTGGATGAATGCAAACCAAGACAAACGTTAAAAGCAAATAAAAATAAACACACATGCAGTTTTGAACAAAACTGAACAGAAAAGAGAAAAGAAGACAAATGAACTAAAAGAAGGCAAATATTCTAACATCAGATGCCTTGCTGCTCTCTTTTTCAAACTTACCAGAAATCCATTCTGAAACTACTAAGTTAGTAAACCTAGCCATAATTTAACCATATTAATGAGGCCTAATGTTAAAAAGTTTAAGTGTACTGTAGTCTTACCATAGCTAAAGTTATCCTCCAGATAATCCATGATCTGTGTTGGATCACAGATGACTTTATCGTCGTGGACCAGAACCGGCACCTCACCCGCGGGGTTCAGACGCATAAACCACGGTTCATTGTGTTCACTGAGAGGAAGGCTCACATCATACTCCTCACAGCGCAAACCTTTCTCTGCTATGGCCAGACGCACCTAAATGACAAATGTAACGGTCAGTAGAGATCTTCTCTTTCCACACCCCTGAAATAATTTAATCAAATATGCAACGGTTTAAATGAATAAATGTCGCGAAAAATGTAACTTTGTCCTTTTAATAATATGCCAAAAAATCATTTAGAGCCACATTGTTCCAGTTTCATTGCTGAAACTGTCAATAAATCTGTATCAGGGAGCTGTCCACTGACATTTGGTGCTGAAACTTGATGACACCGACTCACCTTCTGAGAATTGAAGGACTGGGTCCAGTGATACAGCGTCAGTTTTGAGTCATTGTTACACAACACTGTGCCGCCCTGTCGTTGCGTCTCCTCTTCTGAGCTGGCCTGTATAAGAGCTGCTTTCTCATCTTGGGTTTCAGAGCCGTTTTCCGACGCCATTTTATCTGTTAGCCTTACGAGGGAACAAGAGGATGGGAAGGCGCCACGTCAAGGTTCACATTGTTGCACCCCCTGCTGGCCAGGGGTGGAACTTGGAATAAAAAAAAAAAAAAAAAAAACACTTTGCTTTACTTTAATTTTATTCCAGTAAGTAAGCATCAGGTCAAGTCATTGAGCTCCAGGGTACTCTTTAACCCTTTTTCTATTTATTAGTGAACAGTATATCACCATATCAGCCATATCACGAATTTTAACAGTATCTGATTCATTATTGTTCTTCGATCTTGTCCACCAGTGATTATGTGTAGACAGCCAATGAACAGCCAAAAAAGTCTCCACACAAAGCTTGCTTTTATTAACTGATCTTTTATAAACAGTTTTTCTTTATTTTATTTTTTTTTTCTGTAACTGACATACAACAAAAGGGAAAAATGCATCACAAACTAATACACACATCTTAATGCTACCTTCAAAAGGTTTCTGTAATGGAAATATAACAGAAAGAAAAATAAACACTTACAAAGTCTAAAGTTTTCCGAGGCACAAAGCATTTAAAATACATTCAATGTTCATGAGATGTTTACTTTCTTCTGCCTAAATTCTTGTTGACTAGGTTACCGGAGAAAAATACATCAGAGATAGTTTGCTCCCCACAGCGCTCCCTCGGTCATGTTTCTGCGTAAACAACATGACAAAGATCATTTTCAACAAGTGTCACACTCCAATCAAATTGAATCCACAACATGTATTTTATGGAGGATTTATGTCACAAACTGTGCAGAAGAACACGATGTGTTTATTATTTTTAAAACAATAAAAATCTGAACAGTGCGATCTGTATTTTGTATTTCTTCCCAAATATATATTTTTAAAAAAATAGTTTTTAATAATTTATATGCAATAACAATCATTGTACAGCAGAGGGTGCCCTATTCTTGTTCTTCTATATGACAACCATCTCTTGGGCTTTATCAAGCCTACAAAATACTAAATAATTAAGTTGATGGAACCAGCTAATTAAAGTTGTGAGTATGATTTCCTTTGATTTTACTTTTGAGTCCCGTTGAGATTTTAAAAAATTGAAAAAAACCCCCAAGCCTTTTTTTTTTTTTTTTTTTTTTAAGAATGCGCTCTGCTTAGTGCTGTCATCATAATTATACACTCCTACTGTTTATTTTTAGTCCAAAAAAATAAAGCTATAATCTAACCATTGATAATTGCGGTAAACGTGTTTGTTGGGCGTACAGCTACTGTCGACATTTACACCTGTGGCCTGCAAGGCGCGTCTTTCAAATGTGACACAAATATAGAGGTGCCTTATTTTGGTAGGGCTGAGGCGTCAAGGCTCTTCAGCGAGGGGTGGTAGCGCGACAGGCAGAGATGAGAGTGGGAGGTCCTCTGTGGCGTGACGTCGCGATTGGCCCGGTGCCTTTTTCTTCAGCAGGGTCTCCATGCCTCTCTCTCTCCCTCTGTGATCAGTGGGTGAGAGGGGGGAGACGAGCAACACACAGCGGAGAATCCGGGTGTGCGCCTCCGGTAAATGACGCCCACCATTCATACCTTTACTCTTACCATTACGCATGCCATTTGTATTACATATCGGTGTCTGGGTTTCCTCATCCTCTCTGATTTCTCGCTCCTCTCTAGTCATCATCATTATCATCATCCTGCTTGCCATCGTCCTTTCCATCACAGCGCCAGTTCTGGAACAGCCCACTTCGGTCCTGGAGACGCCCGAGTCTGCAGCAGCAGCAGCAGCAGCAGCAGCGCGATCTGCGTTTTTTCCCCCCCCAGCCTTTTATCTGAATGACGGGCGGAAGGTTTGATTTCGACGACGGTGGCACTTACTGCGGGGGGTGGGAGGATGGCAAAGCCCATGGGCACGGCATCTGCACCGGACCCAAGGGCCAGGGCGAATACGCCGGGTCCTGGTCGCACGGCTTCGAGATCGTAGGGGTGTACACCTGGCCAAGCGGGAATACCTACAAGGGCTACTGGTCCCAGGGGAAGCGGCACGGGCTCGGCGTGGAGAATAAAGGCAGGTGGATCTATCGAGGAGAGTGGAGTCACGGCTTTAAGGGTCGCTACGGGGTCCGGCAAAGCCACAACACACCTGCCAGATACGAGGGGACCTGGAGCAACGGGCTGCAGGATGGATATGGGGTCGAAACGTACGGCGATGGCGGTAAGAGCCCACAATCGTCCTTGTGGCTTTAACACATCATGTGTTATGCAGCTTGTGTGTAGGTTGCTCAGACTCAAACCAAGGGAAGATGTAATAGACTACATGTTTGTGTAAATCTTCACCGGATGTGAGCTGAGATTGCGCTCCTATGCCTCCAAAACTGTTTTTAAACTCATGTCTTTTGCGGCCTCCTTTAAAAAAAAATAATAATAAATTAGAAGTGCATCTCATTTGGCAACTACCGGTTGCTCCTCGCAGGCAGTGGGAGGAGTGAGACTCCTCTTCAGTGGCACCATGCCTGATGAAGAGGGAGATTGGACATCAAAGCAAATCATCCCACTTAAAGCATAGTCTGAATATAAATGGTCTCCCTGTTATGCTCTTATTGAATATTCTATGTGGAACCATATCCCCAGCCAGCATGTACTTGTGGGGCCCCATATTGACTTTGCTTAGGCTGAACTGGTACAATTTCCAGGGGCTCAGAATGGGTTTCTCCTGTATGAGACAGCTTTTTGAGCCTTTTGTAGATCTCTAAAATATACTTAGAAAATCAGCTGATTTAGCCAATGTATGTATGTAATCTCCTTGGGTGCCACTTTTTACCTGTACAGTTGACCTATATGAAAACTGTTTAAGAAATCAACTGTAGGTCATAAATTATCCACAGTTAATTCTTCTTGAGGCCCATTCATAAGCCAATTTCCTTCCAGTATAGGCCCCATATGGGAATGTTGGTTGGGTATTTGGGAGCATCCTTATCTTATGGGGTCTGTTTGGGCCTGTTTCCAACCAAATTCACAGTAATTATTACAGATTTGAGAGCTGAGGAACCCCCCCCCCCCCAAAAAAAAA